GCAACAGAGCTGGAGGATGGAGGAATCCAAGTGCACATCTGTCAGGAAACCACTAGGAGAGGAAATTCTAACTTTGCAGTGAGGTCTTGTCTCTTTGGTGCTTCCTTCTGCCTTCTCCCCACCATTTGGAAATACAACTCCCTTAGGAGTGCATTCCCACTCTCTCTGTCCTCTAAGCTGGAATCACTTTTGCGAGAAGGAGCTCCTTTGCAGGTATCCACTTGGCTAGGGGAGACCATGATGCAGACAGCAGCTGCTCTCTCATACGCCATGGGGCCTCTGACCCCAGGGAGTTAGGGGAACTCTATGTATGTAGGCATACATGGAGCCTATTAAGTATAAACCAGCAACTCTATAGGTCATTTCTCCAGGCCTCTCATAGGTGGATTGCTGGAAAAATTTCATTGCAATGAAATGTTATAGTTTAATAAGTCAATGGACAAATTTCACAGACAAAATGAACATTTTAAAGTGAGATACTCACAGGACTAGACTTCATAAATGAAATGCTAGAGGAGTACAGGTCCAGGACTGCCTAAGGCCCCTTCTACACATGCAGGCAAAGGAGCAATGGGATCTAATTTGCAATCCACACAATTGCTCTTCTGCCATGCCACATGTGCGTGACAGGAGGTGCAACTGTAGGATTGCTCATTAGATCTCACCACACCTTATTGCTGGTGCAGTGGGAGCCTGGATGAGGAGCTCCCAGCTGTGGGGGTGCCCCATGCTTCTGTGGAGCCTGGGGGATTGTGCCAGCCTAGGGAGAAAGGCTTTATACTGAGTTTGAGGGCTAGTGGCACAGGCTTTCATTGTGACCTGGATAAAGATCCAGGACTAGGAGGAAACTTGGCAAGGAGAGAGAAGATCAGAAGAGGGAAGCTAGTGGTTCAGCCTGCTAGTTATATCAGATGCTTAATACTAATGCAAGAAGTATGAGGAATAAGCAGGAAGATCCAGAAGTCCTAGTATACAGCAATAACTATGACTGACTTGAAGTAACTGAGGCATGGTGGGGATGGCTCACGCCACTGCAATATTGATATATATTTAATATACACACATTGCCTTGTATATTAAATAAGCTCATTATTTTGAGGACAAGGACAAAATGGGAGTTAGACCTATTAAGAGTCTCTGGGTCAAGATAAAAAAAGAACATTTCAAGGACAATGTCACAGTAGTTGTCTTCTATAGACCACTCAACCAGGAAGGAGAGGTGGATGAGGTGTTTTGGGGTTGGTTTTTTTTTTTTTTTTTTTTTTGGTTAAATAAATAACTGCAGTGTCCAAATTGCAGGATCTGGTGGTTATGGGAGACCTGGATTCCTGTGATATCTGTTGGAAAAAACTTGCATACCAGAGAATAGACAGCCCAGCAAGTACTTAAACTGCGCTGAGAACAACTTCTTGGCACAGATAAAGAAGAGACTACCTGAGGCAGATTCTTCTTAATTTTGTCCTTAGTAGTCGGGTGGAATTGTTTGAGAACCTGAACATGAACAGAAACTGCTGTAACTGAGATCATGAAATGACAAAGTTCATGATCTAAATGAAAGAAAGAAAGCAGAAGAGTAAAAAACAAAACCAAGCAAACTTCAGAAGAGCAGATTTAGGCAGATCTCATAAACACATTATTTGAGAGGCAAATCTAAGGAGGGAAAAAGTGCAGGAGAATTGGTTGTTCCCCAAAGAGACCATAGGTGCCTATAAGCTTTGTTCCTCAAATACACCATACTTAGGGCACAGGGCATGGTATTCCAATGCAAAGGAAGGCTAGGAAGCACCGCAAGAGGACTGCTTGGCAATATCAGGAACTTTTTGATTGCTTGAACCTTTAGAAAGGATCTTACCAGAAGTGGAAATCTGGCAATCTACTCATCTAAAGGCAAGTATAAGAACACACTACAAGCACGTAGTGATCACACATTGCTTATCGTACAGGCACAATCCATAATGACACGCTTGTGAAGAGTGCAGTTGTTACAGGAGAGTTTTCTTCTTCTTATGATTCATCAATCATCTGATTAGGAAATAGTGGTCCTGCGAAAGATGAATGATAGTAATGACATAAGTGCTTATGTAAGTGAGGTCAGGTACTTTAGCTTTGGGATGTGAGCAGTTTCTCATGAGACAGCAAACAGCACCAGTTTCTGAAAGCATGTTACCAGCGCTGCTGCTCTGTCATGAGCTATTGCTGTAACATGATTGCTACATGCCCACAAGACACGTCACCTCTTCAAGACTTTATTCCTCATTAGGAAAACACAGCTAATTGTATTTTGCAAAGCATTTTGGGATCATCAGCTGAAAAGTGCTCTGTAGGTGCAAAGAGAGCTAATTGTATGTTGTATTAAGCTAGATTTGATAAAACTACATGATTTAGAAGCAAATGTGGAAGTGCTTTGCCAAACTGAAATAATGTATTGATTCAAGTGAATGAAGTACTTCAAATAATTTCTTTTGGCTTTTTAGGAACATTTTCTTCATTCTTAAGTACTATATTTCAAGAGATTCATCTAATTCCAGTTCTCAAAAGAAGTTCTATCAATCAGTGCTGGGCACCAGTTTTAGACTTGTTACTAAAATATTGGTGGTGAGATAACATAAGGGGATGCCACCAAATTAAATGTAGACAATTAAGAAAATGTAGTATCGCCTTTTAAAACTGCTCCCTGGATCATATTGCTAAATCTTGCAATTCCTTTTTTCCTAATTTTAAAAGCATTCTCTCGCCTGCTGCTGTGGTAGCCCTTCACCTAAAAAGAAACTGAGTAAGAAGAGAACACAATGAAGCTGCCTAGGTACAAAACATCAAATGAAAAAAGTAAGCAAATTAAAAGCAGAGAGAAACATATTTCTTCTCACCAGTGTTACAGTAACCTTAGGTGCTACTTTTAACACTAGTGATGGCAAAACCTAACACTGATATGGTGATAATGATAAGACATAAGGTTTGAACATGCTTTTATTTAAATATATCCTTGTGTGATGCTCTGAATCCCTACCCAGCAGCAGGGCTAAAATGCAATCAGTCAGGAAGTGTAACTGACTAGAAACAAAAGGGCAACTAACCAGCTTTAGGCCCCAATCCTGTACAGTGATCTGTTAGCAAGTTTCCTTATGCCTCTATAGAGCACCTTGGACCTGACACATGTATCAAGGAATTGCAGTACTGGATTATGATGCAGGATCAGGGCCTTTGTCCAAACTCACTGAAATGCACAAAAATGTAATAATACACAGAAATAAATAATAATAAACAAGCTGTAAAGATATGTAATGATCTTTCCCTTCTAAGATTCTGAAGCATTCTTAACAGCATTTTTAAGGAGCTTCCTTGGACTATGAAAATTACGTTTCAGTGTTGTCTGCTATATGTAGGGACCTGATCTGATTCTCACTATAGTCAGCAGGAGTCTTGCCATTGATTTCAGTGGGGGCTGGAATGGGTCCTATTACATGTGTTATCAGCTGTTCCGGAGGTTACCTTATCTAAGAAGATTGTTTTGGAGGAACACTAATAGATCTTAAACTGGAGAAGAAATGTAGGCCTACTACATGTGCACAGCTCTATGAGCTTAAGAAAGCTACTTCATAAGTCACAGCAGTTTAATCTTTGTGCTGTGCCTCTGTTCCCTAATGCACCTTCTTTTCATGTAAACCAGTTGTTACTCTTACCATCTCTGTGCTACCATTTCTAACCATTTTTCAAAAGTGCTGGATAAAAGGGGAGAGCTTCACAGAAAAGATGCTAAAACCCAAGGTGATGACTTTCACTCTTTCAACACATCATCAAACAGATCAGTCTGCATAATTAGCCCCCTGTACTGAGGAGGGTCATTAATTAGTATGCAGAGTGCTTGTTTAAGAGATCCCTTGCTCTTTTATTTTAACTATAAAGAAGTTTTAACTGCCTTTGACTTGAACAACTGTGACCAAATGTTGCCTACAAGTTTAGCAAATGCCTCTCAGATTTACTGGTAGGATTTGCAAGGAATTTTATCTTCTGGTTACTTGATCTCCTACCTGGGACTCTCTCATAAGTATAATCAAAGGAGGTAGGCAAGATTGATAGCCCAGCATCTGACCTTTTATAATCTTATATGGTAACAAGATCTGTGTAGTTCCTCAAGGTGTGTGTGTGCATGTCTATGTGTATATGTGCAGCTAGCTGGGTTTTCTTTAAAACAGTTGCAAAACTAATACATGAATAATTCATTCCATCAGCCAACTAAAAAAAAGTTTTAGTTTTAAAATCCCAATGAATTATTTGTAATTTTTCAGCAATTTGTATAGGCAGAAATCATCAGACCCCATTTTATTTTGTGTGTGTGTATGTATGCAAAAAGGAGAGAGAAAGAAGCCTCTAGCTACTTCACTATTTTGAAAATAGTTGTCTATTCAGGTGGTCAAATTAGAGCACATCTTGAACATGCAATAGAGAGAACACAGTTTATATTTATACTAATCTAAATATGTGGAATCCAAGCACATTTTAAAATGTGATTATTAGTGAATGCAGCATTTCACAAGAACGTAGCTACATTCTCCTTCCGTTATCCCACTGTGGTTGCCCCGAAGTAATGGAGGAGAGTTTAGTCTTCTATCTTCACTTCCAGGTGATCTCAGGTAGGCAAGTGAGATCTGAAAGATGCATATTCAGAAAGCAAAATGCAAAAGACAGACATTGCTTGGTGTTCCTTTTTATTAAGGTGTTAATTTTTTTAATAATATAAAAAAACAAGAGTGTTATATAATTAATATACACTAAAAAGCCCAAGAGAGGGTCCTATACAATAACTTAGATGTATTTAATAAATACAAAATAATAGCAGCCTTCTACAATGCAGGCTACATATAGGTTTACTTCGGCTTGAAGTACCCTGGTCTTTAGCACACCTACAGGAACAGACTTGCTCCACAAGTGTTTTAAAGAGGCATATCTATAAGATACATATAGGAGTGTCTAAGATTAGAAGGAAAATTTTTAAACATATTTTACCATGGTCTCCACATGTCTGATGACCCCATACTAGGGTTATTGTGTGAAAAATTTGGCTGCAGGATCTGTCTGGGAGGCAACATATCAGGCTGACTAAAGAGAGTGAGTGCCGGTGCCCGGACTGAATTTTTCAAAGCCTGTTTGTCCTCTGCAGGGTAGAACTGCTCTTGAGATAGACTGCATGTGGGAGTGTTCCCCTTTGCACCCACAGGGGATTTCTGGGCTGCAGGAGATTGCTGCACTGGTGTTGAAGACCTTAAGGCTGCTTTGCAGGTTTCCTCACTGGATCTGGGTAAGGATTTCAGCAGATGGTTTAATAAACGTGCCCCAAGTGTCTTGTCCATCCATTCACAGGTCAGGAGAAGATTGTGAACCTCGTGCATACACTGAATATATCCAGTGCTATACCTCTGCTGAGCTTCAAAACCCATTTTGGAATCCACTGTATTAGAACAGGAGACAACCTGGGTTAGTTAAAAGACTGAGCTAGCCATGCTTTACTTAAGTTTACAAACATTCAGCAAGGCCATGATATATTGTTATATACTGATGGTAAAAGATAAAAACAAAAAAATGGTAACTTCTCAAGAGTTACTGTGTCTAGCAAATTGAGCTCTGGGCTTGGGGACACTTGGGCCCCTATTTTCATCTTGGCCAATGGCCTTCTGGGTGACTTTGGAAGTCACTTTATTTCCATGTACCTCAGTTTCCCTAATCTGTAAAACAGAGCTGATGATACTGAACTCTATTGTAGAGTATATTAAGAGTTGTTCATGAAAATTTCTTTATTAGAGCTAGTTTTAAATTAACGTCTACAATTCAGTTCTGTAGAGCTTTTCCAGAAGGATCAATATGTTCAGAAAAAAAGATTAGTGAAATAACAAAAAATGATAGTATAAGGCAAGATACAAGATACTTGTATAATTCGGTACTGATTATAATTAAATTGCAGTTATAAGTAATAGTATAAAGCTTAAAAGAAAAAAACCTTTTGGAGAAACATGACTCACCTGTTTGATTAGGGCTTTATCCCCCTCTAGTGGTGAAGGCTAAAAACCACTTGTAGGGTTGAAAGGGATGTTTGCAAAACTGTCAATGTATCATCAGTGTAGTCACTACCCAAGGTTAATACTAAATTCCACCTCTTAAATATATGGAAACATGTGTTGTATACAAGATGCAAAACAAAGTTACTCACTCACCCATGATTTTATTGTTTTGGATATTCTGGAGATGTTTTACTGTCATTTCAAGGATATCAGCTTTTTCCAGTTTAGACTGCTGTCAAAAACAGGAATACAGTAGGTCAGTGAAGATGATTTATTCTGTAGGATTTTGGATTTCTTAAATCATAAAGTAGCAGAACCAGGTAGAAATTAACACTTACATCTAGATGAAATGCACCAACAACTGTTTCCTTCAGCTGATCCAAGCAGTTGTTAATCCTTTCCCTTCTCTTTCGTTCAATGAGCGGCTTTCTTAACTGGAAACAAAAAAAAAGAACATTTCTGAGGTTGAGTTTCCAGATGCTATCACTGCATAGCTGCTAATGCTGCTTCTGCCTTTGCTGAGCTCCCATTGGTGAACTCAGTGGGCACAGATGGAGACCCCCTGATTTTGTTTTTAACCCTTAAGAGCTGTATTCTGCAAGTGGTATTGGAGAATCACAAGGCTACACGACACTGTGTAGGAGAGACAGCACACTATCATTTTGTTAATCCTCATCAGTTTTAGCTGACCCTACAAGCATTGGACTTGATTTTCCTTTCATTTAAGCTGGTGTCAATCAGGTTACTTTGATGGCAAAAAAGATATTTCAGTGTAAAATTAATGCGAGTGGGAGGAGACTACATCCCTTTGTGGCAAGAATGCTGCTTAAACTCCTTTATATTGAAAGCGGTTGTTTGTCTCTAATATTTTATCACATGCAAATTATCATCTCCAGTTACAGGATTGTGCAACTGTACTGCACAATGCAGACACTCATACACAGTTCCCATGCTATGCACAGTACCCATGCTGTGCACACATGCCCATGGACGTGTAAATCTATAAAAGGACCTACCTTCCTTTCCTCTTTGGTGTTGGAAAGTTTCTGCACGTTGCTGGCCATAGCCATGGCCGTCATTATAATCCAGCTTCTCTGCTCCTAAATGTTGCGGAGGGAGGAAAAAAGAAAGATCTTTGGCAGCAAGCTGCTTCCTTTCCTGATGGGCTCCTTGCCTCTCTTGCCTCTCCTCAGCACTTTGCCTGTATTTATAGCCCAGAATTAGCATGTGAATAAGGGCTTTCCTTGGCTGGACCCCTTTTCCCACACGAGGGGTCGAGACCAGAGGTTTGTGGCTATCAATCAAGGCTGACAGGTCACTGCTTCTTTTCAATGACCAACTTGCCCCCCCTCAAACAGCGACAGATGTCCAGCCTACAAAGCTTTGCTTTGCAGAAGCCTTTTGTTAAGAAGGAGAGGCAAAAAGGGTGCACTCAGAGTGGATCACGTGGCCCCTTGCTAAGTTTGCACAGATTCCCAGGGAGCGGGAACAATAGGCAGTAACCAGTTGAGTTACACCTGGGAGAATTTCCTTGAAGTTTCTTTTAGTTTTTGCTTGTGGGTTTTTTTATATTAATCATACTATCTTACTGAATGGATGTCACTCTTTACCTGCCAAATATGTATCCCCTCCCACTTGAAATATAAAAAGAAGCTCCGAGACACAGAACAACCTTCACATTTGGAAATGGAGCTATTTGATCCACTGTGTAGTTCATCCTTTTTACAAATGTTACAGCGAAGTAGTGATTGTTTATTGAAGTCCATTGACAACAGATTCCCCTAGAAACTGATTTTTCCATCTGTGAAATACTTATGAAAAATGCCATGACATTTCATACAAGTGAAATCAGTAAGTCTCAGTAAAAAAAGAAACATGGCTGTAAAAATTATTCTTAACAATTTGTAAAATAGAAAATGATAATATTTTGGGTTTTTAGGTATTCTGTAGAATTCAATGTTGCAACTACAGGGTGTTTAGAATGTTGCTTTTGTATAGAATTGTATTGGTTTATTTCCTATTATATTCCATAGTACTTTCCCATAATGGCTTATTTTCTCACTATGATACTGATTTTTTTTTTTTAATCAATTAAATATTCATGCAAAGGTAGGTGGATGCTTAAAGAGCAGTATGAACAGGGCAAGGGCATATTTTTTTAAAAAACTTTTTACCATTTACTGGTCTATCTCTTCTTTATAAAGGAAAATCCCTGAGGCATTTTATATGAACAAGCTCTGGGTTTCTAATTGTTGTTTTACTAATGAACAGGATTTGCTAGTATCCTGTTGAGTGAAGTAGATGAATCCATTTAAATAGGTGTCAGATGTATCATTTTATTTAAACAGACAGGAAGAGCTTTAGAAGAACCAAAAGCCACCCCAATCCACTGTAAGGCTTTTTGAAACCCATTACTTACACAACTGCAGAGTGATTCATTCCTGTTTCCATATCCCAAGACAGCTACATACGCATGAGAATAAAGTACAAGGGGCATCATCCCTCCATCTCAAACAATATGTAAACACGCTGTTCTATACATGTGGGTAAATACACCACACACTGTACAATGTAGCTATATTTAGATTTATGCTCTTTGTATGTGCACCTGTAAAAATAAGACTCTACAGTTATACTATAAGTAGAGGTTCTTAGCCAATGAAAGCCCAGGGAGTTTGTCTGATTATTTCTCAAGGAACTGAGTGCCCTACTTAATACAGCATTATAGTGACCTCGTTCAAAGGAAAAGCAAGACATTGTTATGCATTTTCTTTGATACACAAGAAA